ACTCTAGAAGTCCGGACCACTCTAAAGTCGGAAATTTTAACAAACCCCCCCCCCCCCCAATAAAAAAACCCATCGAGAGGAACACTGGATTCCGGCGTGCTCATGAGAGTTATGTAATCATTCATTTATTCACCGAACGCACATTATCTGATTCACAGGTGGAACTATTCTTCTCAAGAAGGCAAACAAAACGTATTCATGAAGCACCTCCATCCCTTTGGCACTGATTATTCTAAAATACACAAAGTGGGACGTCTCCATTTTTAAAAAGATACATGGATACTTGTGGTGACATTTGTACAAAATGGTCTCTTTCCTAATACGCACCAAACATCCACATAGCTTCCACTCGTAAATAAAATTGTTTCTCAATTTAATATTTATCATAAACTATAACCTTAACACAATCATTCAGACGTTTCGTAGTGGGATATTAAAGTTGGCAAATTCAACATGCTCTTATTTAACGTCCTGTGAATGCATAAAAGCACTAATTATAGACCTGTATATGTAAGTAAAACTGGAAAGAACTGAAAGCACTTTGCCTCGGGAAAGTGCTGAAATTTTGTGAAAAACACTCACTCTTTTTCTGGAGCAAACAAGTTTCTAGTGTATACATGTATGCGGAAGGATGTGAGTTAAGCAGTGTTATATTTAGAGCGCAACATCGAATAGGGCCATCCATGCAAATTTCCATGATATACCGTTTCCAACCGTCCTATATCGAAGAAAATAACCCATAGTAGTTGAGTGCTACCTCTTCGTGACGTTTTACTTTTTTCCTTCTTTTGATCAAGAATACTCTGAATTATAAACTGTACATGGGTAAAAAGTGCAAAAACATTTAAACTTTAAGTCCATTTCTGTTTCAGTACGTCGTGCTGTTCGTAATAAGAGCGATTTAATCAAGAAAATTTGTTCTTATTCAATTTGACAAACGATTGTTGATTTCTATAGGTCATGTTTATTTATTTTTTTACTTTTCATGAACTCTGTAAGAGTGTAGAGTACCAACACGTATTGCCAATTCGATGAGTAAAAGCTGATTCATTTAGACTCATACAAAACTTGAACGGCTAAAGTTAATGTTAAAACCTTAACACTAAACAGAAGGTCTACTTCTGTAGAATTACCTCGCAGTATTTAATTAAAATACTTAATTTAATAATCATGATCATAAAAGATTAAGTCCCTGTCTCCCCTTTCTTTCAACGGATACTAAACCTTATAATAATGATTATTATTTGAAAGCTTAATATGGCTTTAAGAGTGTGTGACTTTACTTTATTTGAAAATCCTTGTTAACATCTATTTAGAACGTGCCATTTTACTGATTTATTAATTTATTGTTTAATTTTACTTTACGCCGCGTATAATGATATGTATGAAGAAGATGTTTATTATTTTTTGTTTCACAAAATTAAACAATGATGAAGCATTTGATACTCGAAATGAAAAAATGTAAAACTGTATGATATATTATTCTATCATAAAGAGGAGGACGATGAAATTCAAAGACTCCTCTATTGTTTTGAATTATGCATGGAAAGTATGCGGTCAAAAGCAATATGTATGATTGACTTATTGGCAATGAATAAAACCATTTTTGTTGTTGTATAGCTTAGCCATCTAGCAGACCTTTGATATTGGAATCTTCTCTCCTCCCCCCTCTCCCAAAACGATAAAAATTGTTTTGATTAATTAGTGGCTCGGGGTCATTATTCACCACAAACATGTTTTGGAGGACACAGTTACCTGTTGGGGTTTACATTTCGGTAACGTAACAATAAGCAATACCTCGGTAGAGTTTGCTTCTTACCTTAGAAGTTCTGCCCCTCAAGTATTACAAATTAGGGGTTTAATTTTGCCCTCACTAAGATGTTAGTTATTTGCGAACAGTTTTATCAATTTGTGCCTTTAGCCACTTTCTATGGTACGAGTTTGGTAATTTGTTCAAAACAAATTATGTTATGTTTAAAACTTAATAACACTTAAAGCTGTTGTTATGACCTAGTTGTACAATAATTTAAGATGCCTCGATTACCTTCATGCGTCATCACTACGTCATCCTTTCATCTGCTTCCATAATGATTTATCATCACGATCGTCATTATCTCCGTCATCGTACTCGTCATCGTTATCATATAGTTATCGTTGTCATCATCATCATCGTCATCGCCATCAACATCATCTTCTTTACCATCAACATAATTATCATCGTCACCATCATCAACATCATCGTCACCACCATCAACATCATCTTCATGTTCATCATCGTCACCACCGCCGCAATCACCATCACCGCCACCACCATCATCAATAAAACAACTTAGTCGTCATCATCATCATCGTTATCCTAATGGGGAAGCATCATCATGCAAAAGATCATAATCGGTTGTTATCGTCCTCTTTCTTACATGTATTTTAAGCAGCAAGGAGATCATCATCATCGTCATCATCATCATCACCCTTATTATCGTTGTCATCATCGAAATAAGTGACTAAACATTAAATTTTCGATTTGCAGAAACTTCACATTTTGTTTATTTTTTCCTGTGTCATATACAATGTACAACCATTTATTTCGACGTAGCTTACATGTAAGCAATTACAATCCCCATCTTGGTGCATAGCTGCGTACATACGTGGGCAACGTAGGTACCGAGAAACCGATATAAAACGGGATTATGTGGAACGATAACGCACATCATTGCGATGAACAACTGCGAATAAATTATGCAAAACGAATAAACAAATAAAAATGCCCGTGCATAGATTGTATGTTTATATTACGGAACATTAAAGAAATTAATGTGCGTAACTTGACATCAAAAGTAACGATCAAACTGCTGTAATTTATCAACCTTTGCACGTAGATGGCGTACTTCCACATAAGAGAATAAGCTTCAATGAGCTGATAAATGTAATGTGTAATTTAGTTTTTCATTTGAAAGATTTCAAATACATGTACTTCATGCTTGACATGTAAGGAAATTTCATTAATTTACCAAACATAAGATGAATAATAAATTGTTAACACGGTTAAAGTATTTGTCTTTTTGTTTGGGAGGAGGGGGGGGGGGGGTGGGAGTCGTTCACGGATCCACTCCTTTTCGTTTTCTCAAATATTTTCACAATTCTAAAATCAGTTTCCGTGATTAAAACAAATAAAAAGAGAAGGGAACCCTTCTGTTATTTAAAATTTCACAAAGCTTTAAACAGATCTGACTCCTTTGATTTTAAAAAATGAATGAAAATCTTTTCCAAAAGATGTTTCACACTACACAAATGAAATGGTTGGTGGAAATAGTCTTATACCCCTCAAGCAAGAAGGATGGGGGATAACGGAATATTAAAATAGCATTTGAGGACAATGTAAGAGCAGCGTGCATTTTATTACAACGTCTAACATGCGACTGTCGTGTCAAAGAAAACCAGCTTTTCAATGCAGTCGAAAATAAATAGATATACAAAAAAATCCTACCAAGACTGGGCAATGGTTTTGCAACATGAACACCCATTATGATACCCAAACTGCAGGAATTCGATTCAATTCAATCGGTCGAAATGACATGAACACTAGGTTTCACGATATCTCTTAGACATTATGGAATGGACAAAACAATAAAAGACGGAACAATATATGAATGGGCACAGATTATTGTTCAGATATGAAGCGGTACAAACCTCGTTGTTTAATTTTTTAATAATGACGTTAGTGTACTACGTATCACATTTCTACATCGTATAACGCGTTGCTATGCGAATACGCATATGACCTTTGGTGCACACGGTTGCCATTTTGTTTCCTCGTTATAGAAACAGAATCCGCGGTGGTTTAACAAGTCATAACTGAAGCGCACATTGAATATGGCAGCAGAAAAAAAAGACCGCATCAACCATTTCCTATATATATTTCGGTATATATTCACTTATATGATATTATATAAAGATTAATAATCTATTAAGGCCTGGCAATAATTTCAATTTCAATGTGAACTCTAAGTCACTACTTATCTAAACTAAATTTAAGTAACGTGATTTATGAATGCAGCCCGTAATAATGGAATAGTAGTAATACGATAATAGATATATATATTTACATAATTATAAGCTGGAAATGACAGCAATATACAAAAGTTTTCTTTCATAGTATAATCATATTTTATATACATGGAAATGTATTTACAATGTTTGCAACAAGAATCGGCATTGGCACATCATAAGTACATTCTTTTTTGTTACATGTTAGTTCATTAGCAACACGTATAAATCAATTGTTGATCGCAATTAGGAACAACTGCATCTGTAAAGGCGACTAATTATACATTGTACCCCACCCCCCAAAAAAGAAGTAAATACAAAATATATATACAATCATGAACCCTGTTGGCGTTTTCTATTTGTACTAACTTCATAGAACTGCGTGTTTTATTTGGAGTTTCAGCTTGCGGATTCATTCCTCTGTTTACTCAATATCCACCAATAGTTTAGCTGACATAGCGCCCTCACCGATTGATTGTGGAGCCTGCCTCTATCACTTTATTTTGTTATTTGTCTTCGCGTTTTCTTTTTTTCAGAAGAAGGAAACGCCTTGTAAGGGCCGGGAGGCCCGGGATGATCATTCACAATCTAACACGTATGAAAATGGCGTATCACATTTGTGACGAACATTACAAGTTATTATGCCCAAGTTAACTCATTGTAAAATGGGTGACTATTGTTATTCAACATTGTGTCGTTTCAGGTCTCCGAAAGTTGCATTTCCCTTGTAATATCCAAGTCACACCGACATGACTTACACCACAATGCCAACATACAGAGCATATAATCATACACATCATATGGCGTAAATTATGCTGCGTTGGTTGGGAGTCTGTCTGTCGGTGTGACAGGGGTCTACACTAGCACATTTTCTCTACATGCAGTGTCTTGTTTTCCCCCCATGCGGACAGTATGTCTGTGCTAACGACTAGACTACAATGTACTATCATGATCATGGTCATGTATGCAAGACAAAAACAAGACAATTATTAACTTAATTCCTTCCTATTGGGAAACAGGCTTCGTATTCTCAATCATTGTATACTGAATAAATATAATTTTGAAATTAGCCCTTCTACTGTTCAACAGCGATCAAGGGATAAGTTGATGACCATTATCTACAAACCAAACAAGAATTATCATTAAGAAAAGAAAGCACGCTATTAAGTTTTGGATAACTACTGCTAGGAATAAATGAACAGAATGCAGACGATACAAGGCATACATGTACATCCTAAAGATATAGATTGTGCCACTGTTTGGCTGCTTCTCGTCTTGCCAGCATCTTCCCCCAATGACTGATGGCGCTGCCCTGTGTGTAGATGTATGGTCCTAGGATGACCTGTCCGAGGATCTTATCCTTCTTGAGCTGAGCATGTTGAGTTAGCTGGATGACCAGTGAAGTCTCATCGATGTAGGACATAGGAACCACGAAGCAAAGGGACTCCGTGTAGACAGGGTTGTCGGTGCCGCGGATGATGGCCGTCTTGCGAGACTTGACTTTATCCACCCCGCACATGAGGGTCACTTTCACGTAGGTTTCTGCAGATTCGGAAGAGAAATGTATAATGTAATATAGATACAAGTGCTGTTTTTAAAAGATCAGTGTTGTGTATCCCTAGGTAGGCAATCAATTAGTTTAAACTGGGCTGTCGGTATATAGTCGGTGCAGCGATGTGTTGACGTCCTACATGACTCGACTTTGTCAACTTGCGTTTCTGTATAATATGTGGAAGAAAAATGGATTGAAGTTTATACAAATATTACAGCTTTCTCAAGTCGGTTTTTTGTGTATTGATAATGGGATAATCATACAAGTTCGAAAGCAATTCCTTCTTCAATTGGCTGCGAGATAGACTGAAAGACGTTTCGGAAATTCATCTTATAATATTGAGAGGGAAGAGGGTGATTATGGAAAGATAGAGTAAAGGAAATAAAGAATCGATGGCAGAAAGGGCACTAACTTTGATGGGAAAAAGAGGTAGGAGGTATTAAAGCTGATGAATTAATTATAGACCAACGCGCAACGTACGCTAATTTGAGGTTTGAAATCTGAGTATCAGAGACTCGAAAGGTTTTCACTAACGTAAAACGTCTTATTTTGCGGCATTGCAGTGAGTTGCCTCGCCACGGTAACATACCACAGACGAAAAACACCTGAATATCACTCGAAAACCGCATTTTGTGGCGAATCCCCACGAGGCATTGATCACTTGCGCAGAAGAGTGAGTATGAAACCGGTGTTGCGCATGCAGACGACGTAAAACGTGAATTAGGAGCCGGTCCCAATTCACAATAATCACGAAAATTGTATAGATAACTATAATTAAAACGTTCAATTCGATTTCCTTAAGTTTGATAGAGGAAAATGCCGAATTGGATGTCGGTATTGCTTACCGATTTATGATAATAAATTGTTTACATGCCACGCACATAAATCTCCTTTATAATATGCCGCATTCTATTTATCATGCGATAGATACACCAACACCCTTCAACATTATCATTTCATCGTTTGCGGTGCAAGATTAATATCAGCTGCAGGTTAACAGGGATTTCATGAAGCTAATCAAGACTGGAAATTGATAATATTTCAAAGCCATTGTGTTTCACAAAGCAATTCTTCCATCAATAATTGGTGCATATTCTTTTGTTTAAATTTGCAAGCGTGGCAAACGAAAAACCACGCAGGTAAAGTGAAACAAGCAAACGATGTGTTGACGTGATTTCGGTTTCGGTTATATACCCATCTACTTAATAAACCAATTTTTACATTTTCTTTTCTTTATCTTTATCATTATTCATGTTATATGAGACCACCCCTAAACTATGTCGGATCGGGGTTGTGTGAAGCAAAACGCTAATGGCGTCAGCTGAGCCTTACTTAAACCATGCATGCAACAATGCGATCAATAGCTTAGCATGCCAAAGCCACTGATGATGGAAACTAAATTACAACGGCGGAGAATTCCCCGTTTGTCAATGGTAAATTGAACAATCGCCTGCATTCATTTTGATCTTGAATAATCAATGTGTCCGTGGGCTCCTCCCTAGATATGTTCAACGGAATCAGAGGGAAATGAGAAGGCTCATTAGCATGAAAATATTAGAATTTTGAAAATAAAAAGTTTGAATTAGAAACCCTCTAGTCCTGGAACAATACGGTTTCGTATTTGAATACAAGTGAAAGAATATTGTTAATGATTTGAGCCCTTGCTCATTTTCTTCTTTTTTACGAATCCCCCCCCCCCTCACTATATCGATCGCGAATACATTAAGCTACTTCGTGCAGTTATTTGAAATCATTGATGTCGGTGACAACAAATTACCCCGGAAATTTAAACACCAATTGTACTATGTGACATTACTGATGTGAAACCCAAACAGTAATCGTTGTTGATGTGACGGTATTAGATCCGATTATATCATACTATCCTTCTTATTTTCATTTATCCATTTGTTTCACACAGTTTTTTTTTTAACCAGCATGATGTACGTAACAGACAATCCATCCTATCACAGATCTGTTTTCGGCAAGTAGACAAGACACGACTTAGTGCTTTTATCTTATCGAAATGTGTCATCGCACGCCTCCAAGCTCTATCCCTGTTCTTATCTCGACGCCAGAACGTCAACGTAAGTCGTTCACCTTTCCAGAAAGAGGAACAATTATTGCAGCTCCAGAAATTCAACTAATGAAGGAGTGAGTGCTCCTCCAGTCTTTTCCTTGTCTCATAGCGCTTCTTAGATGGAATCACAAGGCTGTCTGTATGAATACCTGTTGCATAATTATGAGGCGTCATTTTGTTGACGTTAGGCAGACGCAGCTATTATAATAGCTGAAACAGTTCAAAAATGAAACAGAGTTTTCTTCCTTTCCCTAAATCATGGTGTTTCTGAGATGGGACCCGTTATCTGCCTATAATGTATGCTGCACACGCTGCGTCATTAGCTGACGGAGCAATGCGTCAGCGACTGTAGCTGTAATTGGCGCGCCATATCAGGGTGGCATCGTACACAAAATCAATGCATTTGGCTACATAGGCTTGCTTAGCATGCTTTATGAACGAAATCGAAACATCGCCTCGTGTACAACGGGCGACGAAATAATCAGAATGGTGTTATACCATCTATTAGCTCATTATGTCGGTATATGAATTGATGTCGTACTAAATTGACAGTTTTAAAGATAATTTGTTCTTTGTTTTTGAAATATTTGTTGGGATAAAACAATCGTGCTGCAGGTCATTACCCCACAACAATTTTCAAAATCACAAGCAATTGTTTGTAATTACCTTACTGTGTATAAATGATGAGATATAATCATTTTCTCATATACAGAATGAATACGCATAAACTGATTAGTGGCGTTGCATTATTACTTTTGAGACATCGTAGACTTTAATCAGTTAATAAATCCAAGAAAAATACTTAGCGAGTATAACACTGAAACTGCAATCTGCTGTTATGATGATCCATTCACAGTTTATTTCCATTCACTTTATTGAGTGGAAGAAATTTGTCTAAAAAAAAACATACTTTAACCGACAGTGACCAAACAGCTTGCGGTAACATGACGTATCATGTGACTATAGACAAGCAAACACGTGGGATGTTTTTCCCCTCATCGTATACTCTTCCTGTGGAGATGATCAACGAAAGTATGGCGGAGACAGAGAAATAAGAGCTTGGAAATACACGACGACTAAAGAAGTTGTTTGGACTCTTTTTCGCCCCTTCGGAGAAGGTTGAAGACGTCAAAAAGCACGGAAGAGGTGATTGATGGGAGGGAAAACAATAGAGCGTGAGAGAGATAGAGAGATAGAGAGAGAGAGAGAGAGAGAGCGCGAGAGGGAGTGTGCGGGTGTGTGTGTGAGTGTGTGTGTGTGAGAAAGAGCGTGAGAGAGATAGAGAGAGGGAGTTAGTGAGTGAGTGTGTGTGAGTGTGTATGTGTGTGAGATAGAGAGAGAGAGAGAGAGAGAGCGAGAAAGAAAGAGAGAGAGATAGAGAGGGAGTTAGGGAGTGAGTGGGTAAGTGTGTGTGTGTGTGAGATAGAGATGGAGAGAAAGGGATTTAGTGAGTGAGTGCGCGCGTGTGTGTGTGTGTGAGAGATGGAGAGAAAGGGATTTAGTGAGTGAGTGCGCGCGCGTGTGTGTGTGTGAGCGATAGAGAGAGAGGGATTTAGTGAGTGAGTGCGCGTGTGTGTGTGTGTGATAGAGATAGAGAGAGAGGGATTTAGTGAGTGAGTGCGCGTGTGTGTGTAATAGAGATGTAGAGAGAGGGATTTAGTGAGTGAGTGCACGTGTGTGTGTGTGTGTGTGTGCGAGATAGAGATATAGAGAGAGGGATTTAGTGAGTGTGCGTGCGCGTGTGTGTGTGTGTGTGAGCGATAGAGAGAGAGAGGGATTTAGTGAGTGTGTGCGCGCGTGTGTGTGTGTGTGATAGAGATAGAGAGAGAGGGATTTAGTGAGTGAGTGCGCGTGTGTGTGTTTGTGATAGAGATAGAGAGAGAGGGATTTAGTGAGTGAGTGCGCGTGTGTGTGTGTATGTGAGATATAGATAGAGAGAGAGAGAGATAGAGAGAGAGGTAGTGTGTGTGTGTGTGTGTGTGTGTGTGTGTGTGTGCGTATGTGAGGGAGAGAGAGAGAGGGGAGGAGGATACAAAGAGGGGTGGAGAGTGGGAGAAAGAAGGGATAGATGAAGAGATCAGATAGTCATCATGCGAAAGAGAAGTGGCTGTCAACCGCGAACTCAAAAGTGAGTGTGAGCGTGAATAAACGGGGGTTAGTTAGACGGCCGTCAAACGTCGCGCTGCGCACGCTTATTTTCCCAACCAACTGTTGCACTATTATTCTTTATCGATTTTACGACATTACAAAAAGTGGAACCCTCTAGTTACCGAATTTTGCGGGTATAATTGGTCTACGTATGGATGTTTTGGCTTTAGCGTCGAGAGGGTTAAGAAAATGGCGACTTCCTTCTGACACGTCGGATGAAAGCGTCGCACGCATTCTTTTTCGGTATGGGAGTCGCAGTATAATGGAGTGAGAGTGGGTGGGAGAGAGAGAGAGAGAGAGAGAGATGTTTTTGTTGGGAGGGGGGAGGGGGGAGGGGATATCACGCATTTTATTGCTACGTGAGTAATTCAACAAGAGGAGAATTTATGCAAATGCTGAAGTGCACAGACTGCATGAGACATTTATTACGAAATTACAATTAAAGCAGATAAAAACATGTGATTCGCTCAAAACAAAATGCCAGAACTACGAGCAAGGGACGCGGGACAGAAAATAGGAGGAACCAAAAAGAAAAGACAACGAAGATAACTTGCAGACGAACTAGAGAACGAACTTGATCGTAATAGATGAATACAAAACAAGAACAGGGGCGAGAAAGGGAGAACCACTCCATGAAAACCATTAGGACGGTAAAACTGGAGCTTTTATAAACACCGTTCCCTGATACAAACAACACATTTGTGACAATTGATGCCTGCTTAATTTGGATCTTTCTATATCAAGATTGTTTGCATTCTCCTCAGCATGCCATTACAGGCGACAATCCCTCTTTTTCATGGCGCCATTTAAAATAAAGAAAAACGGGGCCGCTGGGCCTAACTCCTTGGTGCCTCTCTTAATATCTCCCTTTCTGGTGCAAGAAACCTAAACACAACTCACCGCAACCTGGTAGAAGATACAAGAAGAACATGGAGGAAGACTACAGAATCATGGCAAACACCGAATCATGATGTTTTAAACATGTTTACGATCCTGTAAGGCATCAATATCGTTAGTTTAACCAAGTAAGTTATTTTAGGAAGTACATGTATTATGGCAAGTACGTGAACTCGCAGAGAAAGTAGACAATGTATACTCAGCCATGCTGCACAGTCCAAATAATATTTTATAGATGCATGCTATCGTAGCTACGAAGCCTAATAATTGTTTGTCTTGCTTTTCCTTTATAAGGCTGGCAAACCTTTAAAGGGATCGTTTAACAATGTTAAATCTGAGATACACGGCCCTACGTGTTATCAGTGTCTGTGATATGGTGTAATATTGAAGCCCTAAAAAAATTGCGCTTCAAAATGATCGAGAAGTGCCTCAAAAAAGTAAAAACCTTTGAGTGACCGGTTTTACCATACTCGTTTTCCCCAATAGACTGTAGTGTTATGAAAACCGTCAGGCGAACGGTTTTCAAAATTTGTAATTCCAGTCATAAATATCTTGATAATCAGACAGGCGATCGGCTTGTAAAAGTCATGGGGTTCCTGACTGACCTAAAGGTTTATAATTATCATTGCATCATTAGCTAAATCCAGAATTTTGTTTCAGAATCTGAGACAAAGTTACCGGATCCCTTTAATAACCATTTCACTTCAAATGGATTTAAACATTCAGGTAATAGCATAAATCAATAGCATGATAATAATAAATGTACAAGACTCGAAAGTCTAATCTTTTATGAGTCATATTAAGATGATTCCGCTTTGAAATGGAAACTGGTGGAGTCCACACAGTCATTAAAAAGAGTTATTGAGAGTGGATTCATCTCCTGAACGAAATGATGCTTATACAGTGTGAGTCAACAAAAAAGTTTACACCTAGAAAAATTGCAAATTATTTAAATATCATCTATGAACAGTTAATTATTACACATCCTATGCAAGAGTGTTTTATCCCAAATCATATGATATCATTTTTGTGTGGTATGTGTTTACGCTTGGATGAACATGAAGCTTTGTTTGCGACAGTGCCAAAATGAACTTGCGCCAAAGTTGTTTATGTGATGTTTGAATAAAACAATTGGGATTCGGGTATTAATTCGGTCTTTACAGATCCAAATAACATCCCTTACAAAATTAATCATGCCACACATATCAAATATTGAATATCAAATATCAACGAAAATTCGTGCGTGTGTTTATGTGTGTGTGTGACTTCGCTTCTGTAAAAAGCATATGCAATGCATTCCATTTGATACATTCAATTCATTCTCTCACTCCGCTAATCCCATCATAATACATACTGTAGGTATCACTTTGGCGCAAGTCAATTTTTGCACTCTCCCAAACAATGCATTATGTTCATTCAAGCGTGAACACATACCACACAAAAAGGATACCAAATGATTTGGGATAAAACACTTTTTCATAAATTGTATGATAATTTACTGTTCATTGATGAATTTTAAAATAATTAACAATTTTCTAGGAGTAAACTTTTTTTTGACTCACACGGTACATCTCCTAGGAAGACTACATGGTGCAAACTCCTCTGCACTGAGTCAGAGAGAACAATCAGAATGCTCACTTCCATGCAAGCTTAAAATCATCATAATTCATATTACACATCCGGCAGACAACCTGCACATGGTTATCCCAAATCACCCGAAGACATGTCCTAATCAATAGTGTGTCCTAGATACAAACAACCTTCCTCGCTAAGACTGACTCCTGTTGCTCTGATGGGAGCCTCCTAAATGGGATCTCATCTTGTAGCAAGCAAATGTCAGTGAAGTCAGTTTGGTTCACTGACCAACATTGCCACTGAGACTCTATTTTGTGTCAGGCAATTGAACATATATAAATTGACGTTGTTAAGGATATTGTGGATACGATTTTTGGCGTCGTTCCGGATGGTAAACATGACAATAGTGTATGTTCTACTGATATGGAACAACTGTTTTTTTTCCATTACAGCTGAAACGGGTTTAGCGCCGAATCTGAATCTCAATTTCAACTATGTATATTATACATGTTGTCGAATAAAGAAATAAAATAAAATAAACGAACACACCCAATGAATAGTGACAAAAATTCATGAAAATCTGTATTTCACTAAACGTAAAAGCTTAAACAAAATTACTCTTAGGTTAAAGCCATGAATTGTAACTTTGTAATTATACTGTATCGTCTGTTTTTTGGATTGTACACGAGTCTTATATCGGAAACCCATCATTTATTCTTTTTTTACTTTATTTTACGCTTTAGATAACAAGTTACTTGTCTCCCGTTGTCATGCATATAGATTGATATGACAATTCATGTAATATCAAATTTCCATTTTTGTCTTTCCACTTTGGCATTTTGTGTTTTGATATTTGTTTAATGCGTCTCAGAGCGCTCGTTATCTCTATTCTATCTTCTTGATATTTCTACCACGGAACATGTCGGATAAACGGATTATGCAGATATTTAGATGTTATCTAAAAATGGTGTTATTTATACAGATGTATGATTGCTCCCACGTAGCGCGACTTAATAAGATATTGAGATGGTCATTAGTAACGCACTATAAATACAAAGCCTGGAGGGAGTATTACAATAGGAATATATTTTAACGGCAACAAGCAAAGTTATAAAAAAGGTTTTGGTAAACTTGTTGCTAAATTTACACAGGAAGGCAGGTGATAATGTAGGGCAGGGGTTATACGACAATAACAAGCCGATATGGCTGTAACTGGCAGAAAACAATATCAGATCGAGATATCAAATATGTTATTTGGTGATATAAGTAGAAGGTTCATGAGAAAAGTTCCATGTTATTCTATGATAGTGAAGCGAACGATTGATAGAGATGTAGATAGAACAAGAGGGAGAGAGAAGAGAAGAGAAAGAGAAGAGAGAGAGAGAGAGAGAGAGAAAGGAAGAAATAATAAGAGAGAGGGAACATGGGTAAAATTGGGGAGGGTGTTTTTTTTTGACGGGGTATGTGTGGAGCAAGAGTCGGGAAGAGAAATAGAGAGAGATATTAGATAATGATAGAAAAAGATACATGCAAAGGAGAGAGAGAAGGAGATAAGGATAGAGAGAGAGACAGATAAGGATACAAATATAGAAAGAGATAAGGATAGAAATAGAGAGAGAGAGAGAGAGAGAGAGAGAGAGAGAGAGAGAGAGAGAGAGAGAGAGCATGGGAACATTTGGGGAAGGGGTAAGAGACATCAATACAGAAAGAGAAATGTAAGCTTACTTAATTTACAATGGGCGGAAAGAAACATCAAATGTTTTATATGTTCCTAATAATACTTATAGACGCGTTTAGTTTAACATTGGACTACGAAAAGACACTAAACTTTAAAAGATGAAGACACTAAAAGTATACTTTACCTAGGGAAGACACATTGGTTCCCTTCTCACATTTAACGTCTTTTGCCCGTAGTATAACACAGGAGAGCCTCTCTAGAGAAGGTAGATAGGCCAGGGATATCAACAGACGACCTAGGTTACCAGTGATCTAAGATATATGTAGAGAAGAAGAGAGAAAGAGAGAGAGAGAGAGAGGAGAGAGAGAGAGAGAGAGAGAGAGAGAGAGAGAGAGAATGAGTGAGTGGAGAGAAGTAAATTGGATAAAAAGAGTTATAATGATGGAGCCAATACATAACATGATAAAGGGAAGAAGGATTACGATGGAGAGAGAATAATAAATTGAACACTTCATCAAAACACGTTTTAATATCACCGTGTTTTGACAGATTTCTTGCACTTTTTGTTTTGTTGGCTTCAATTGCTCACCAATTCCATATAACACCATTGATATGCGCTGTATGTATGTACAAGTGCTGAAGAAAGACGGATCTAACGCTACTTTGTAATCTCTCTGGCTTCTTTTCACAGCATCCGATGTTGACAGCTCTTACTAAAATGTGATGGAGCATCTCATTATACACACACACTCTACGTCATCATTCCTCGGAGTTAAACATTCTTCACGATGATATTCTTGACTTCATGAATGCTTGATTTATGACTAGAATCTGATTAACAGTCGTTATTGGGTGACAGTATGTGCATAAAAAAGCAAACGCACTGGCCCGTATTCTGATAGAGTTTAAATCGACGCTGGCTTTTTGTAAAGCTATTGTTCGAAATCATGATTACATAAGAAGTTAGTTTGAAATTTAATTTAGTAAAATACGGGTCCTAGGAATTATGATTCTATACTCGTAACCCCGTCATTTCAATACTCTAAGCGTATCGTTACGTCAAGATCATTTGTAAACCATTCCTTCAAATAATTATCCTCCAAAATGGACCTCACTTGCATAAATGGTAAGACTTAAAACTAAACCTGTGGTAAACATTTTGCTTTCGTATCGCACGATTAAACTTATGGTATGATGTCCCTTGTAAATGTAAAATGAGTACATTGTACGTAATAAATGTAAAAAGTGAAGACAGATAAGCAACGACAGTATTTTGATGAAGGGTACGCACTCATGTTGAACGACATTTTATACTCGATAGGCTTTCCTATTTACAAGTGCTAAGACTATCTAAAATTTCCCCTTCTATGCCTACATTTTCTGCTCCATGTCTGATTTCGCTCCTCCGCTGCATAATGTTCATATTCTTCTTCCTCAGCAGGTTTAAGATGTTTAAATTTCATGATCCCTCCCTCTTCCTCTCGCCTCTCATCTCTGACTCATCTCACACGTATCTCCCCGTGTTCCCCCCTCCCCCTCCCACTCTGTGTGAAAATGTTCCCAAACCTGTCTTCACGTCGCTCTCTCTATCATGTTTGCTCCCTCATTCCCTTGCAAAGCTTTTTGCATCGAGATATTTGTCTCTCTATAAAACAGTTTTCTCATGAATATTTAAATCCAGGCTGCAAAGTGCCTACGATGTATTTAAGTGTCACTTCGTAAAATGCTATTTCAACATTTTTTGACTAAGTTTGTAGTGCAACATTTTTAAAGTGTGCACACGTTTCAAATTTAGAGCGAAGGCAAAGCCTTAGGCTACATTTTCTTGCAGAAAGGAGCGATGTAAAGCAAAATTTACTTACCATTGTTAATATAAATGCGATGTAATTAATTTGATAACAGTGTGAAAACTATTTAGAAACAATTTTTTCAAACGGTATTTGCCCGTTCTGAATCTTAGCTTTAAGCTTTGAACAGTGTTAACTGGGTGAATAATTATGATCTGAATTCGAAAGATGAACATAATGTGTCATTATTTTGTCAGTACTTGCTTTAATACTGAATAAATTGTTTTGAAAGAAACACTTATGACAGCATTTAATTGGGTACTATATGCGACGAAATTACTTATATATAAATTGACAGCTTTAGGTGGTGGCAGAGCCGTAAAGGGAGTAATAAACATGATCGCTAAGTCTTTTAAAAATATCAACACGCGAGTGATTACACCACTCTGTAGTATAACCTATAGAAATCAAATTCGATCTATATGCCATACAAATGTGCGTATACATTTAAAAAAGCGATGTATACGGCAATCGAAATTGCGTGACTTTGGTTTTTCGGAAGTCTTGGCGCTCGTGTTAACGTCGAGACCTTTCCATTCTTCTTACCATTGATCGTCTACCAACCCGTCGACGGAACTCTCGGGGATGGTCCGTAGGCGTTAGGCAGTCGACCACGGGCAAGAGCACGTGGCCGATGGCACTAGTGGTACAGGCGCCATTGGTGCACAGGTCGTCTGACTCGTAGACCGAGATCCGGACGGCCACGTTCTCCGCGCTCTTGGTGCGGTCGAGCGGGAAAACGACGGTGTCGTCGAAGACGGGGTTGAGTGAGGCCTTGGCAGACTTGGACTTCTGGACATGTTTGCAGTCGGGAAGAAGGCAAGAGAGAACAACAGGATCGTAGGAGACATTCTCACGGTGTCCCTTCGAAGGCAGGTCCTCGATCGATTGGAGGTGAAGGTACAACCTGGTGTGGTGGGGAAGATGAAGAAGAAAAGTTTACATGTTAACCACTTTTTAAATTTGTGAAATTTCTAGTTAAAATAATAGAAGTAACATACAAGAATATAAAAAAACTAATGTTCTTAAGCACTGGACAGATTTTACCCCGTTTACTAGCCTAGCAGCCCTATAGAAACTCAATATGGAAATTTCAATTTATGTCATCCACGCGAATAAAATCCCCCTCTTGTACACCCGTTGTTGATATGTCATGTAATCCTCGATCAAGGAGGTTTTTAGGGTTGGTCGAGTAAGAGTTTCGTTTAGGAGGTAAATACTTCAGGACGTTGGCCATTAGTTTAAACCGCGATGATATTATGTTGTTTAGACATCCAAAATATGGTTGACCTCATTGCTATATCAAAATCGGATGTCTGAAGAAGAAGAAAAAAACAATATCGAAGTAATATGGCATCCTCTAAAAAGCCTCTCAAATTTATGAAACGTGATGACTATTTTCAATAACATCCTGCCGCAGTTGACTTGGGGATGATATCCGCACTCAGATATATTTCTCAAGCGTGACGCGACTGACACTAAAGCCCCTTTCACACTTTATCGTGTCCGGTGCGGAACGAGACGGAATTAGACCGAACTAGACGGAATTAATAGACTGAATATTATGGCCCCGAGAACTAGCCCTGTGGGACGCCAAAAATGCTGCCATGACCGATTTAACACTATTCGAATTTGCAAGGCGATAAACATGGTTATGGTCGTCCATTATTGTTTCTTCCAAGAATGCCATCTTGCGAAGAGAATTTTGTCTTTGTCATTAATTGTTGTTTATCGATCTAATTATCTAATTAATTATGAACAGTAACGTCGCTAACAGTATTCTCCCGTGGAACAGTGTTAACGTAATTGTTATACAAGTCTTAATGTGTAAGCCATATATTTAATAACGATTACAAAAAAACTGTGATTAAATTAGCCAGATCGAATGCTGCCTCATTTTGTAATAAAGTGATGACGTTTACTTTGTTCAAACCACATCTGCCCAGATGAGTCGTAGAGAACTCGGAGAAAGATCTGGGAAGTTCCGCATATAACTCGGCATTGACTCGTAACAACCTAAGGTGAACGTGTTCAGACACCTACGGCGTCTTTTCCAAGGTTTTACACCTCGGGAGGACCTGAAGCTCGGGAAAGCTCGACATAGATATGTGAAATAAGCTATGAGGTACTTTAATGTTAGGAGAGAATTTGCTTATTCGTCGTTTCCAGTATCAATTCCAACTGATTATAATGCACCGTAGCCGAGGAAGGCTAGAGGCCTGAGGCAAAACCGTCTTATCTTGCCAAAATTCAACCCAGTTGTGATCATAATTCATATTTGGTAAAACCGTGCGAACGAGATAACTTTGGATATTCGCACTCGAGTTGAGTACGTGTAGCTGTACTCGAGCTGCCACGGCCCTGGGATATCGAGAGGCGAGCTGAAGGGGGAGAGGGTAACATCAGACTAAAAAGCAAAGAGACTAATAGCCTATGAAAGATGAGGACGGGAAGGTGAATTAAAATCGATGTAAAATAAAGGAAAGTTATAACCAAAGAAGATTATACTTTTTAGGGGAAATATGCTTTCGCGACAGCCGATTCACTTTCGTTTGAATCGGGTACAGATGTTCAATCACCTTGAACCCGCCATTGTTCACCTTCGTCTGGAATACAAGTCACTTTGATATCGTAGACTCAAACTATATATTCTCCAACGTGTTCCTCGTATTCTTTCTATTCAAATTTGAATAGATTCTATTCCGATTGGAAATAAATGTTTTTGAGAGCGTATGAATGGTAAAACGGAAGTGTGGAGGGGGAGAGGGGAAACGCAAAGCAAAGTGAGAAGATAATCGATGGAATATTTCTGAGAATGATAGCATCCATGATAAGTAGGAGTTGCGCCAGCAAAGGGGGCTCGGATGATTAAGGGTGAAAACAGAAAATGTGAAATGTTAACGTTTGTAAGAAAAATGGAAAACGAGAGGTATTCCTGCTTAAACATGCTCAATGGCGTTTCAATAATAAAACTTAAAGGAAAAACTTAGGTCGGTTAAACTTACACACTCACACGCTATGTACGTTCCGGGGGGGGGGGGTGATATACAAACTTAAAGTGAAGCGAGAGAGTAGAATGGATGCAGAGAGATAAACAGGAAGGGAAAGAGAGAGCGATGAAGACAGAGAAAGAAAAGGAGATGGGGAGATAGATAGATAGATAGATGATCAGGAATTAAGTGGGGGAAAACCCACGTGAGGCGACAGGCATGACAACAGTACTTCTGAAGATTGGCGTGACCTCAAGCAATATTAGACAGTGATCCGGGGCCTAATGAATAAAATGCACTTAAGGACAATAATATAGAATTAATAGCTGTGAGGCGACTCCTAATAACGTTAAGAAGAGGGACGCATGGGAAGACCTTATTAATGCTCTACTTCTCCACTCCTGAGTGACATTTTTCTTTAGCATTGACATGATCTTGATGACTGAAGGCTTTGAAATGGTACTATACTGAGTTTATATGATTTTCCAATATTTTACATGACCATGCATGGTGGGAGAGCATTACAGGCGCGGGAGGGGGCCCAACTTTTTTTTTTTTTGCTCCTGAAAATTTGAAAATCGCGCCGGCCGAAAAGTCACTCAGTCGGGGGGGGGGGGGGGGGGGGAGGGATGGGTACAGAGCACAATTTTTTTTTGCTCCCGAAAATTTGAAAAACGCGCCGGCCAAAAATTCGCTCAGTGGGGGGGGGGGGGGGGGGGGGGGGGGGGGGTAGTGAGCACATTTTTTTTTTTATCATCCTCAAAAAAGGTAAAAATCACGTGATTTTACATGATTTTTTTCTCAAGGGGGGGGGGGCCGGGGCCCCCGGGCCCCCCCCCCTGGATCCGCCACTGGAGCATTTAACGTTTCTAGCGTTTCGTAGTAAACAACTTAAACGTCTCCTTCTTAAATATGAATCAAATTCAATTAAAAAAACATATTTTATTAAAATAAAGAACCGTATATCATTTTTAGGTGTTGCAGCCATTACATTTCTATATCCAGCTATCAATGATAACACAAAGCAGTATATATTGTATGAAATTTAACAGAGTAATGCGCCTAAGTGAGGAATTGTTATTTCTAATGACCATAATGATGTGAAACCGGAAAAGGAGAAACGTGTATCGCCTTTGACCTTTAATATCCATTATGATAAAAAGACAAGTCGACCACGTGACATAATATGTAAAACACTTAGCCTAAAGATAGTTAGAGTTGCAAGAAAATAACCATTCTAATTCCAAAAGCACTTTTGCAATTTAATTGCCTTGGCATTCTCATATTGTTTTATTCATGGCGGGAGGAACCGATTAGGTTTGATAACTGTATAATTAGAGATGTATAAATATATTTGACATTTCGAAGAGAGCTTATCTGTCTGAGGTCTGTCAAACAGTTTGATCCTGTTTTCTTCTTAATATTTAAACAGTAGAACGGAAATAAATAAAATGGTTTTGTTTTCTTATAGCACGAATCATTATCATAAATTGCATAAGTTCGCCCACGACTCTGTAATGGACGAAAGCGTGGAAAAAATTAAAATATCTTGGACCCATTCCCGCCCCTTCTCGGTGTACAAAAAGTGGACGAATTGTCCCAAAATAGGCCAATGTAGGTTCAAAACGTTGATGATTTCCGTATCATCTGCAGAATTTTTTCAAACTTTCATCAACCTGATTCTCCAGTATTTTCTCGTTTAACTAATTCAACTTGTTACTACGGTTGGATTTCCCTATAATTGGTCTCTTGGCAGAAGAACTTCTAGCCACCGGAGTCAAAGATTTAGTTGCATCGATTATTCGGATAGCCTTTCAATCTGGTAACGTAATGAAGTAAATTGATTCAATAACGAGACATCTTTTAATCATTTGGGATGTAATTCTAGAGCTCCCAGAGCGGTATGCATTACATTGTTTGTCTAACTTGTTACCAAATCGTGGAACAACGCAGAAGTATTTGAGGGGGTTCTAGGATACCTGCCCCCGGATAACCACCTTCCGGATAACCACTTCTAGGATAACCAATCTCTAGGACAACTTCCCCTAGGACAACTACCCCTAGGGCAACCGCCCCCTAGGACGACTACCCCGGACAACTATCCTAGGGGGCAGTTGTCCTGGAGGGTGGTTGTCGAGGGGGGGGGGGGTTGTAGTTGCATAGACGGTGGTTGTCCTATGGGTGTTTATCCGGGGTGGTTGTCCAGGGAGGAAGTGTCCGGATACGATTTGAGAGAGACGTTTCGTAAAATGGCTTTGCATTTTCATTAAAACAAGAAAAATGTTATAAATGGAAAACAACGACGTAAAGTCCCTTTTTTCATCTCGTAAACCATTTCGTCTTTTTCCTCCATATAGGAGTATTTACTTGATAAAACGCAATTTTCCAGAAACCTCAGGAGAAAAATCAATCACTTACTAAGAAATTGAAGCCGTCCCGGATGCGATCATTTATTGAATTAACTTCGATTGAATGACGGTACATGATGGATCATGTGATTTACCAAAGCTAGAGGAGAGCAAACTAATGATTGTATTCATATATTATGGCCACTGTTCTACCGAATGCATGAATTCTACAGCATGATACAAAAACATTTAATCATATAATTATGATAGGGGATTTCATAGCGTATTTCAGCTAGCATAGTTGGTATCAGAATTTTTATTTAAATGTATATGTTCGTGGGGCTCAATAAGGACTGTTAGAGACGCAATTTAGGAAGTCTTCAAGTCACACTTTTAAAACCAAACAAATCGCATACGCGGATATATAGTAGACAGGAGGTAGGGAATATGACAGGGAGAGAGAGAGAGAGAGAGAGAAAAGGAGAAAGAGAGGGGGAAATAAACAGATGGAGAAAGAGAAAGAAAGGGGAGATAAACAAATGGACATAGTGAATTAGGGAGAAGGAATAAAGATTGATAGACAGAGAGAGACAGAGACAGAGACAGACAAACAGAGGTTAATAAGAATAACTATCACAATCACGAGAGAGAGACAGAGAGACAGAGAGAGAAAGGGAAAGAGAGGGGGAGATCAAGAGATTGACAAAGTGAATTAGAGAGAAGGGGGAAGAAAGATTGAAAGACAGAGAGACAGACATACAGAGGTTAATAAGAATAACTACCACAATCGCATCTATTCCCGAAAAATCAACCAGTTGAAAGGTAAATTATAATACCCCATTGTATGTCCTATATGAGCTATGCCCGGATTACGTAGTATGTCATTGTCATGCTCCCAAATTTCAATACAATGTTATATCAATTGAGTCAGGTGGATTTTTGAAAGTAGTTGGTATTGAATTGAATTCATGTCTGTATTTATACACGGTTAAAAAAGCCCAAACAGTTACAAGACTGATTTCCATTGGGGCCGTGTGAAACAATGTAAATACATCGACTTAACATAACAAGGATAATGGTACATCAAATGACATATTTAAAACAAACAAGAAATAATCAAGATAAATATCTTTAAAAATGACGATAGAAAAGTACTGCCGAAAAAGTATATTTACATGGATAACAATAATCATGAGTGTCCAAATAAGAGTAATTTAAATATACTTCAAATTAAAATCGGTAATCGTGTTAACTGATAGCCCTGACTTTTTTCATTTAACCTGTTAACTCCCAACATATCTCTTTCCCATAGATTTAATACAGGTTCTTTCCAGTTCTCGTATGCAGTGGTATTAATTAGTGTATGTAACAAAGTATATAACTGGTAAGAGAGGATGGTGCTATTCACGGCTCAAAATACCATCAGGTATCTGGTAATGGTATTTAAGATACACTTGGTATTTCCATAAACATGCGACATGATCATCGAGATACTAGTAGGGAATATTGCATCATCCTCCATCCAATCCGTCAACTATGATGTGGTTTTGTTTGTATGTTTATTTCCCCCCTGTAGCATGTTTAATCCCATTATATATCAGATTGAATGAGTAAAATCCATTATCGCCGATGTTGCTCGAATGCATAGCATGCGCTGAACACAGGGAGAAGCAATTGGGAAATGGTCATGGGTAGACTAGTTTTAAGTAATTGGATTATGATCCGATAGTTATGTTTATGAGTGAAACGTAAAGTGCTATAAATAGATTAATGGGGAAAATGGGGATGTAACTCAAGGTAAGATTACACCTGCCCCCCCCCCCCCTAAAAAAAAAAAGACCAAGGCAATGCTTATTTCAGGAATTTTCAAATCATATCAAAATAGTCATGAAACAATAAACTTAAAACAGTTCATCAAAAAAGGGAATGTCTGTGGTAAATGGGGCAGAACCCCCCCCCCCCCCCCACTCCGGGGTCGGAATGACCGCTTGCGTGTTACTTAAATGTCCGGTAAAGGGGTACTTTTCACGCACCAAAGTCCGGCTCGTACATACACAAAATTGACTTTACACACCGGACTTAGGGGGTGTTTTCAAAAGGAGGGAACACGCATATGCGTACCCTAAATAACACTGAGTGGGGGGGGGGGTGGGGGCGGGTGCAGAATTAGTGAGAGAGAAAGAGAGGACAGAAATAATGGAACACGAAGGAAAATGAGAAAGCTGCATAATCTTGCAGAACAATTTACGATGTAGCTGATAAAGAGTAATTAATCATCATT